GTGGAAGCCTCGAAATCGGACCAACGTTCGGTCGGCCCACGTTCGGTCGACCGTACCTATAAGAATATTTTATACCGTTATCGCGATTACGGCATTTATTTTGTCATCGGATTTTGCGACCCAAACAAACGTCATATTTATGGGTTTTTTTCAGTTGTTTTTTGGATTACTTCTCTTGGTGAAGTTAGCCAGGAAGCAGGGTCAAGCGAGGCGTTGAGGAAAATTTGGAAATACGACCCCCCCCCCCCACCCTCCGCCGGAGGCCGAAGTCCATGAAACAACCCTCTTCAAAAGCCGAACTATGAAAAGGTTGAAAAGCTTGTTTAATTCTCCCCCAAAACTGCTCATAAAAAAGCCCTGCTACCCCACCGCCCACAAAAAATTCGTTTAAGAAGTACAAAAGTGAAAAAGTCAAAGAATAATCATTATTGATGAGTCCTACCAAACGAGCAAACGAGAAACAGACCAGAAAACGACAAACTAGCCACTAAAAATGGCATACCATGACAACATCTTCTTTATTTATTTCCTCCACAAGACTTACCAAATTCTAGTACTACACAGATTGTGGTTCTCAATTTACACGTCCCCCTTTCGCTCAAAGAAGCCTTGTAAAAGCCTTCGCCAGCTGTGTGTTGACTGGACTTTGGCGTTGACCGTGGAGCAGCTTATTTACTATTGAAATTTGAACAAATATTCAAATGATTATAACTTTCTTCAAATATGACGAATTTTCAATCTGAAAGCAGATTTGGGAGTTTTGTGAAGAGCTCTTTCTAATCAGTATTGAAATTACAAAGTTATAAGAAATAACAAATTTAGATCAATTAACGAGGAAAATTCGAGATGAGCACGAGTTTTTACACTTTCCGAAGCAATAACTTGCTTCATTTTCGTCAAATTCTGAAAAGTTAATATGGCAGACAAAACTAGAAGATTTTCTCTATCAAATCGTTGCTAAAGCAGCTCTATACGTCCAGTATTCGAAAAATGGCCACGTTGAGGATTTTCGCAAAATTAACGAGGAAAATTTGTGATGAGTGCGAGTTTTTTTACTTCCTAAAGCCATAACTCCGTTCAAACTCATCCAATCCGAAAAGTAAATACGCCATCATAAACTAGAAGATTTGCTCTATCAAATGCTTACTAGAACTGCTCCAAACGTCCAGTATTAAAAAAACGGCTACGTTGAGGATTTTGCACGAGTACCGCCGAAAGGTACTTTTTTCGCTACATTGGCACTATTTCAACGGCTGTATATCCTTTTAAGGGCGATTATGTACTAAAGTAAGAGCAGATTTGGAATCACTGCTTTTCTCTTTCTAAAAAGGGAAGGATACCAGGTCGAAGTGGCCATTTGTAACGAGACATACACCACTAGATGTGTTTTTGGACGCTATCTCAAATCTGCTCTCCAAATCTGCGAAACGACTCTTTGAACGTAGTTATGAAGCGAGATAGTGCAGTGGCAGCGGTGCGGCTCAACGAACGAGAGGTCGTGAGTTCGAGTTCTTGGCGAGTTCTCACTTTTGCTTTTCTTGTGAACGTTGTTTAAGGGACTCTTATCCATGCTAAGTTATCAGCGATTGCCTATAGCACAAGTAAACAGAGCTGGCGAAGAGCTTCGACACTGTGCGCGAATCATTTGCAAATAACCGTCCCTGCCACCCGTAGCGCGCGTAAGGCAATTTCGTGCCAAGCAGATGCGATATTCGTGTTCAGCGCGTCGAAACACCCCTTTCAACAACATTTGGTCCAAATCTAAAATTTTGACTGAAGTCGAAAATGTGGGCAGTCATCTATCCATCAACCCACTGTCAGAGCCTGATCGTGGGATTGAATTAAACTTTCAGTCATTATTGTGAAAGAGATATAGTTGCCTGCTCTACTTGCTCGTGCCATCCGAAGATTAATATGATATTTTTTCATGTACACGCTCGCTGCCCAGGAGGAGCAGGAGGGTAGTGGCTGGGGCTAGGGATAACACCTACGACTCATTGTAGACCGAGTTTCGAAATTGGGTCCAAATGTCAGCTTTCTAGAATTAAGCCTTCAAAGATAGTTTGGTCCGTTGAGCAAGCATCTCCCATTTGTTTAGCCCATCGTCGGATATACGTCACTTCCGTGGCGTAGAAACACCCCGCAGTAGTCGAAACATTACGAAAAAAGTGGAATGGCGTTAAACAAACCCCTCTAAACATGCGTTAGCTTTGGACGCAGTGAAAATTTCAACACTGAATAATTTTTTATATTTAAATTAGACCTAATTACAAAAAGCAAAAAACCCATGCCCAGCAAGATCCCATCCATGGTCTTACCACTGGAAGCCGCCAACACTACCACTCGGCCAAGCCGCCGCTGGAAGTGCTCTGCCGGAGTCTCTTACAGTGGGCTTTCATTCGAAACAACCTCCGTAACACTTTTCAGAGAATCGTTTCGCAAATTTGGAGAGTGGATTCGAGATCAGCGTCCGAAAACACATCTCTGAGTATAGGTTTCATTACGGATGGCCACTTCGACTTGGTATCCTTCCCTTGTAAGAAAGTGATTGATTAGCGTTTCTCAACTTTAAAGGTTACATGTTTATAAATTTAACCCTGAAGAGTCCGTTAACGCAATGTTGAATGGTGTACACCTCCCTGTAAATGCGCACGGACACTTTCAGAATTCTCTCGATTGTTCCTGAATTGAGGTTGTTTGTCCAAGGAGCCGTAGTTGAAGCGCGCGCAACAACTAGACCCTTTCTCGGATGCGCCGTGTACCTCACATCCCTTCAGATTCGGGGTCTTACTTGAAAGATGAAATATCTCTTGGAAAGCGTGCGAAATTCAGATTCTTTAACTTGTGTGGTGATAAAACACTGAAGTAACTAAGAATTACCGGACGCCTCAGAATCACGAAAATTTTGTGTGGGTGAAATACACCCCCCCCTGCGACGTCGTTCGAGCGAATTCCTCAACGCACAGCTTGACACCTGCAGAAGTTTGCAGCATTTCCAGGTGTCAAGCGTAATGTCAGGCTTATTACACAACTCAGTGATCGTAGATATCTGAATTGCTTGGGCATATTAGTGATGAACGGAAATCTCCGAGCCAAAAAGTGGGTCTTCTTTCACAATGTTCACAACAGTCCAATTATGGGCTACATTCGGGCACGTAGCTCTGCACGGCCAACCAAATGACCATTAGTATCATCGAGTGACCTTTGCATCGTTTCACTATGCAAACAGGTGAATCATTACTACATTTTATTGGAAAACATCGTCCACTGAAATGGTACGCGCGGCTGTTGGACTGTCTGCAGCTTGGCGCGCCTGCAGTCTGACACGACGTATTCGCGCATGCACTAACTAGCAATTGTCGCACGATTTTGTCGCGTCAGGTCATGCGAAATGAGTCGTTTTTGTGGACGATGCCTCACGTTTGCTTTTCAGCATTCAATCCAATAAAGCCAAAAGGCTAGCAGTATTCTGAGCTTAACATAGCCTGACCAGACTTCAATATGGACCAGTTCTTGGGCCACATCAACATTCTTTTGAAGCGAATTAAAGAGCACATAGATGTGAAACTATTTCTATGCCCTTAAGTGATCATCCTCAGAAATGCGCCACGCACTTGGCATCCGATCGACCAACAAGGCATGGGCAATCAGGACCGACTAATCGAGAACTGGTTTAGGTGACGGAGGCGGATCTGGTTTACAAACAGATATGCCACGCGCGGCGTTAATACCCCCAAAACCAAATGCGCTTGTCTGTTGTAAAGTCCCTGAAAATCTAACGCATTGAGATGAATTGATAGGATGGATGGAGGCAAGGAACTGCTTTTTCGCAAATTTCTCATTCATCACCCCCGATCGGCAACTTTCGAGAAAATGACTTTTGTTTGATGGACAAAGGTTCAACAGGAGAGATTCCACAGATGAGGCCGAAAGGTACAAGAGGGGGACTCTTACCTCTCTTCAGGCGCGACTCCTCAAGGGTGCAACCAACACGCACATTCGCCAGCCGAGATTATTGCTTCAGGCACCTAGGCCGTCTTCATCAGGTCACGACTCGGCGAGATTAGGCATTATAGGGCGATACAAATATGAGGATAGCGGCGGGGCAGGATCAGGAAGATTGCGCTGACAGACGTGGGATATCATCGATGCGAAATCGCTGGAGAGTAGTAGATTGGGCGACTTCAAGCGAATAGATCAATACATATCTAATCTTGTCAGCGCACTATCCTAATCTACTACTATCCTAATCTCGCCGTCAATACATATGTTTTTCATTGTCGCGTACTATCCTAATCTCCGGAGTCGCGCGAACTATGAACGCGGCCTTACGGTAGCCCACTCGCAGCGCTACTCAACGCCAGCCTGCATCAACTATCGAACCACTCGTCGCAGGTCTCCAGCAGAATTAGAGAGAGTTGAAATTGAAGAGGGCAGCATTATGACATTCGCATCAACGCGAAAAACCAATCGGTAAGGGAGGGGTCCCACTTCTCCGGTTCAGGGCAGTTTCTCATGGGTTTTCTTCATCCGGGCCCCGATGGCTACCTCTACCTTGGTTCTAATGGGCTACCTTTTAATCGTAAACCTGCTTTGTGGTACTAGTCCTAGGTAAGTAAGGCTATTCGAGCAGTCCTTTTACCTGTCCCAAAACTTCTTGACCGCTGTTTGAACCCATTCGCAAAATCAAAATTTGAAACATTTATTTCTCTCCACCACAACGAATTACGACTTCAAATGAAGCATAAGGCTATATATGGACGGCTAATGACCGTTCACTGATCTACAATCATGTATATTAGCCAATTATCTACAATGATATATCTGAATAAAAAAATAGTGATGATCCAACAATAACGTAAATAAAGAAAAACGTAACAGTTTGACGCTGAAGAGGCAAAGAGTATTGAGAGAGACACACACACAAAAAAGTGATGGCAAATAGAGAAAAGAAGACCCGAAAGGTTGGTGATTTGTGTAATTGCACACATAATGCGCACCTATCGCATATGAGTGAGAAGCATATCCATTTGTGCATCATGCAGTAAATCACGAATTGCTTTTTGGACTTTCAGATACTGAATACGGTCTTTGTATGCGATCTCCCGCAAAGGATGTAAAAGCGAACGACCTGAAAACCCGGAATAACCCAAGTTCTGATGATCCATATTCCACAAGAGAAAAGGGCGCTCATGTGTGTGGGGGGGGGGACTATAGTAGGTGACCCTAAGACTAAGCTTGAGAGAGGTGGGAAATGTCCGGGAGAAGACAAATTGCTCACATCTTCCCCCAGAATTCCTTCCCCTCCCTAAGGCTTGGTTCCAAGCAATAACTGGCTCACTTGTTCACTGACTTAAATGCCCCCTCCCTTCTCCCCACAACATGAGCACCGAAAAGTGTGTTAAACTCACAGAATGCCATATACTCGTCTTCATCTTCGGCATCTTCTGATGGCGGAGGTGGAATGCGTTTGGCGTGAACAATAGCATTCTGAAAAAGCATGCCTGAAGTTGCAAAACTAAGGCAAGGTGCAACATTCAATGTAGCTAACATATTTGCGGCAGCACCCTCACATGCTACCTAATGAGGTTGCTTTGAGGGCCGCAATTAGAAATTCAAAAATAAATCTGGAGAGAGAGCGACAAATATTGAAAAAAATGAAGTCGTCATGGTACATGCATTTAGAACGCCACACCGCCCCGAATACCTTGGAAGACCACGGTATATGGAACATTATAGACTAACCCCGTTTCTTGAACAATCACCTGAGGTCTAAAGAAGCTTTGAGCAAGGAATTGGGAAGGTGAAGTGCTGAGGTCAGAGCATCGACTCCTTTTCGAATCCTCTTCTTCTGTATAGCTACGCTCCGTACGCAGATCCTTAGTAAGAAAATAATTGAAACCGCACAGAAGCTTGCCTAACAAGAAAGTTCAACTAATGGTGAAGAAAACCAATAAGACTCCATTATGAAAAATTTCCCGGTGACCAATTTTTGCCCACTGATTTACTACTTCGGAAGAAATGAACGGGAAAATCCAAATCAGCTATGGCTTTCATACATGACACTTAGAGACTTTCTTTACAGTGCGCGTCTATTGTTCCATGAGAAGGGCAACAATTGATACGCATAAATCTTCATCATCCCTTTATCAAATACATACCGAAAAACTTTACAATTATCGGAGAAATTCGCTTCAATGGACATACTTGGGAGGATCCCGACACTTCATCGATTCTTCGCTTTGAAATATTTCTGTGAACACTGAATAGATCGTCCAAAAACATTAGCGAGCTGTAGAATTTCCATTTCGGAGTCACCGGCATACTATCATTATTATATGAAAGCTGCAAATAAACATGCATTTCAACAGCTCAAGGAAGAGAGAATAAATCAGTAAACAGCCGCAGTAGTACCTTCTTCCTAGTCTTCACATAAGTGTCCTTGAGATTCTTCCACTGCTTCTCTACTTCTTCCGCTGAAAAGAGCAGGGAGATAATGTGATTCAGAGGATCAAAGGAGAGGTTTATCCAGAGAATAAGGCAGCGTTCATAGTTCGCGATCGCATGGGCGAAAGCGATTGTTACGCTCAAGCAATGAGAGAAAAAGACACGTATCAATCAGGCGAGTTGGCGATTAAGCGACCGTTCAGTGGGCAAACAAACAAATCCATTATCTCCTTCCTTCTCGCTTACTCGCCTTAACGCTTAATCGATACGTACGATTTTCTTTTTGGATACTCGTCTCCTTCCTTCTATTCCTCCACCGTTTGTCCCGTGCACCGCAAAGCTTGCTATTGCATTAGGCGGCGCTCATGGCCTCGGGAACATTCAAAATAGGGCTTTTAAACCGCTGGCAGGCGGCACTAGGATTGAACCCAGGAGAGGTGAGAAACGCCAGGGGAAAAAGTTTGCTCACGTCCTCCCCCAGGATCCTTTCCCTCCCTAAGGCTTAGCCCAAAGTACTGTAAGTGGCTCACTCTGTGTTTCCCCTCCCCTAAGACATGAGGGCCTATTAAGCGCTTCCCCTTTGAACCCAGTGGAGACCTTCCTCAACGAAAACGTCATTCGTAAGTGAATCAGAAGCTTGTGGATGGAAGCGACATCATCTACATTCCTTCCCTAGAGCCTTACTTTTTTACATTGTCCAGTAAGATCATCATAGTGGAGGTTAATGGTGATTCCACTGGAACTCTATAATCGGCAGACCTCTTTGGAGATACTGCCAAAGGAAAGAAAAGGAAAAACTCACGTGTGAGCTCTGGATCAAGCTGATTTTGCTGA